TCCAGTTTGCACTGGGCTGGGCCCAGTCTGTGCCAAGACAAGGCCAGGAATGGCTCCCAAGATGGCTCCCAAGGTGTTTGGGATTTCACAGCCCTGAATGAGGCTGCCTTGGCACCCACCTGGTGCTGCCCTCCAGGTGCCCTCCATCTCAGGGGAATGGGGACACTGCTGGAACATTTTCATTTCCTCCTGCCCCACTGCTGTCCCTGCCACACCTCAGCTGTCCCATCCACGGGCTGGATTTGGAGCATTTACAGTAACTGCTGCTGCACAGTGCAGTTCTTCCCACCTGAGTGGCAGGAGGTCATTGCTGTTTGAGGAGAAAGCTGAAAGGAGGTGAAAATTTGAGTGTTAAAATGTTTAAATTCATAGCCAGCCCCCCATGGGCTGGGCAGAGGAGAGGGCACACCTGAGGGGCCATTCCCAGCTGTGTTAACTCCAGAAATTCTCCACCTGAAGCTCATTTCTTTTTTCCCATGTAGCTGCTCCAAATTTTTCTTCATTCTCTCTGGATGTCAGAGCCTGCAAAGCTTTAATTCAGGAGCCAGCCCACTGTCACAGCTAAACCTCCTGATATTTCATCATGGATCCTGCCCGCTCCAAGGAGCCTCCTCAGCTGGAAGTGCTGAAATGAACTTATGACAAATACAAGAAATGAAAGTCTCTCTCAAATGCACTTTCTGGCATGACTTAAATGAGCTGAAATTGCTGACATTCTGCCTTCCTCAGATGCGTGTCAGTGTCCATAGACTTTTCTTTCAAACATTGGAAAATTATTGAGTTAAATGTTGCCAGAAACAGCAGCTGCAGGAGCCTGGGTGTGCGTTGGGTGAAGGTTACTGTGATGTGGCTGGGTGCTGCAGAATGAGCCCCTCTGACCTTGGCTGATCCCAAATACAGAAGGATCAGACAGAGGAGAGGCAGAATGAGCCCCTCTGACCTTGGCTGATCCCTCAGAACGGAAGCAATTCCACTTGCAAGTTCTTGGGTTTGTTCTGCCTTGAATTTGGATGGGCTGAACCTTTCCAAGACTTAATGACTGTCATTTTGCTTGAACCAAAACATTTCCTTAAAGACCAGGAAGTTCTTTGCCTGCTCATGGGCGCTCCTGTGTTTGTCCCAGCAGTCAGGGCTAGGACTAAATGGACAAAGTGACATTTTCTTGGCAAAGACAATCAGCTCTTGGGCAGCTTCAGAGCTCCACAGCCAGGACCCACTAATTGGTTGTTAAATTGGGTAAATCCTCCTGAACCCCAGCATATATCTGTGGCACTCTGTGCATTGATAAAACTGCTGGAATTCACATTGGGAATCACAGGAATGATTCCTGTGGTGTTGTTGGTACCTGTCTGCAGGTAGAAAATGCACTGTGAAAAGCTGGCATGTACCTTGAAGAACTTTCTTAGATGGGATGCAGCAGCTTGTCTAAAAGTAAAGATTCTCTCACTGAAATCTGTGCTCATTTCAAACTTCCCTGTCCTTAACTCCTGAGGAATGTGACAGTATATGAAAATTTAAAGGCTGGTTCCTGCTGTTACTCCAAATTTACATTGGCAACAGTGGTTAATTAATTTCAAATTTACTCAGTAGTTTACTTTCAGTGATAAGTGTGGCCCTGACATTTTCAGAGAATAAGAATTAGCCTCTTAAACTGCTGTGGGTTTTGTCTTGTTTTCAGTTGATGAATCCTGAGGGGGAGGATGTGCCTGTCCTGTTGGTGCCCAGGGTGATGAGATGTGGTGGCAGAGGGGTTTTGGGGTCCTTCCTCTCTGTTAACCTCCTGTTCCAGATGTGGGGTTCACCTGCCTTTGCTGCCCATTGCCCTTCTCAGTCCCCTCATCTGGACCCCAAATGTGAGTGGGAAGTGTGGGGTGTCTGAAGCACTGTCTCATCCCACTAACACAAAATTCAAGTGCTCTTGGGTGCCTTTCTGAAATGGGGGTGCCAAGCCCTTGCTGTAGGAAGGGACTGATGTGGGACTGGCACCTCTGGTCTCTTTGCCTGTTAGAAATGTGTTATTTCAGCCATGGTTGTATGGAATGATGGCAGCAGGGATTGCAGTCAGTGCTGTATGGAGTGATGGCAGCAGGGAGAGCTTGGATGGAAGCCTTGGGAGGATTGCCTGCACCTCTGATAGCTGTTATCTATGGAACACATCTGATTCAAACATGTCTTTCTTCAGGGCAGAGTGCAGGTGGCCTGTCCACCTGAGGGAGGGCTGGGGATTTTTGTCCTAATTGGTAATTTTAATGACACATCATCATCCTGACTCGTTGCTGTTGGGATTCACTTTCATTTTCCTCCTATGTTTCCCAACTAAACAAATTGATCTTTGTAAATCACTCACTTTTAGGCATCCTCCCTGTCCCTCAGCTGGTTTTGAGCCTCCTGTCCCCACTCTCTGATGCTGGAGCAAGTGCTGAAGGATGCAGCCGCAGGCGCCCGGGGCTGTCTCGCTAACAAGGAGGTAAGATCACCCCCCTGGCTGCTGATTGCAGGTGACACAGCCACTATCAGCAATACTGGAATATGAATCCCAATATTACCAGTTAGATTGTGCCTGGGCCGGTCTGACCCTCGCTGCTGAGCCAAGGTGGCATCTGTGGTGCTTCACCCCAGAGACACCTTTAGCTTGCTGATGGTTTCAGCTGGGCACTAAACAAGTCCAGGCTTGTCAGGGACTCCGTTTACCTCAGGAAGAAGACTTCAGGCGAAGGTGAAGAGAAAAAAAGGAGGGATTCTGCTGGAGGGTTTAATATCCAGAGGTTTATTCCATGGTGACACAGGTCTGAATCTTGGGAAGAATCCAACAGAATCCTGAGCACATGGCCTGCTTCACCTTTTAAGCTCAGGGGGAGGGGAGGGGACAGGTGAGACACCAACCAGGTGGGAGGGGCGGGGTCTCAAGGGACGAGGGACACCTAGACAGGCCAATGACCTCTGGGCCTGAGGGACATCCTTTGAATTTGACCAACCACACCACGCCTTGTTGGAATGTTAAGCCTGATTGACAGGACTCACTCAGCAAGGGGGCAAGGGGGGGGGGGAGAGGCGTGTAGGCACACCTGGGAAGGGACCCAGGACCCAGAAGTCTAAAACAGGACATTACAACACACTACAACACTCCCTGACACCCTGATCCTTACGGGCCTCATTCCCTTCCCTGTTAGCAGAGCACCCACAGCAACCTCTCCTCCTGTTACAAAACTGCTCCTCAGCTGCCCTGAGTGTGGTTCAGGCACCGGGGCTGTTCCAGCCTCCCCAGCAATCCGTGTTTTTCTGTACTGGTAACTCCCATCTCCAGTTCTCAGCCTGCAAACTCGTGTCCCATGAGCCCATTTCCCAGCTGGGCTTGGGAAGATCAGCCTGGCTGCCAGGGATTTTCAGAGCTGCTGGAATTATGGAGCTGATCTTGCACCTAATATGGGAATCATTTGTCAAGACTTTTGTTACTTCTGATCACTTAATATGGCTTTTTTTAATACTCTCCTGTGCTATTTTTTTTCTCCCACTGTCATGAAGGGATAAATCAAATGTCCTGCACAACCCATCCACAGCATATCCCTGCTCTTGGCTTTTCAGTGAAACACTGAATTCCACCAGAGGGAGATCACATTGATATCCTTTAATTCTGCATTGCTTTCATCTCCTCACATTTAATTATTTTGCTTATAAACAACCCTGTAGTTACGTGGAAGAAGTTGAATAGTTCCAAGAATTAGTTTTCCTCCAGTCTCCTGGAATTTCTTCAGATTAAGCATAAGAATTCTTAATTTTTATTCTAAGAATAACAGTTTCTTCAGGTTAAGATCAGAGTGCTGGAGATTTGTCCAGTTCTGGGTTCAGGATCTGTCACCAAATGTTTTTTCAATGTAATAATTTCTTTTAATAATCTTTATGTCAAACTGATGCTTGACATCATTCAGAGTCTAAAAGATGCCTCATCCCTTGTTGCTCTAACAGTGTCCAACAGTGTTTTATCAGTGTCACTCCTTGGAGCTCCAGGAGAGCCTGCAGTGTTGCTGGGGTTGCCAGACAGGAGTTTCCAAGGCTGTGATTTTTACTGTTAGGATTGCAAATTTAGTCCTGGGATGGTTTGGGGTGGAAGGGACCTTGCAGCCCATCCAGCGCCACCCCTGCCATGGCAGGGACACTTCCACTGCCCCAGCTTGCTCCAAGCCCGCTCCAACCTCGAACACTCGGACACTTCCAGGGGTGCAGGGGCAGCCCCAGCTTCTCTGGGCAACGTGGGCTCTGCGGGCATTGGAATTTGGCAGGGCAGCCCCTGGCAGGCTGTGCCAGCCCCGGCAGTTCCGGCGCTCGCTCGGCTCCTGCCAGCGCCCTCCCTTCTCCCCTCAGCCCCCCCACTCACTGCTCCTCTCAAAGTTTTGACAGGTAACTCTTCCCAACCAGGTTTTCACTACAGAATCCACGCTGAAAGCTTTTCTGACCCTGGGAGGAAGGGTTTGAGCCTCCCAGAGGGGTTGGACCCAAATCCATCCACAGGATAGTTAGGAGTTCCTTGGCCCAGCCCTGTCCTTAGGCTGGCCCTGCAGGGTGACACTGCTCAGGGTGACACCAGGTTGTCCTGCCTTTGCATCACAGGTGGGCTGGGCCATCCCTTCCTGAATTAGGACAGCAGTGTGTCCCATGGGTTGTGGCTGAGACCCTGATCACCAGCCCAGGCTTTAACAAATTCAAATAAACCCTTTTCTCAGTGGCCAACAGCACCCAAAATCTCATGGGTGCTTGTCTTCCCATCCAATGTGCTTTGGAGTCTTCAGCTTCCACTTTAAATGTTTTTATCAACCTGTGACATAAAGAATGGCTGTGTGTCTGTCTTGGGCTGGGGAGTAGCTTTGGGAGCACTTTTTAAGTGAAATTTTTCTAAACTGCTGCTTTTTCTTCCAGCAGATTCCTCAAAAGCCTGCGGTGGAGACGTAGGATCTTCAAGCAAATTCTGGCAGCTGGATCCCGATAGCAGGTGGTGGTCACAAACATGGAGGGCTGTTGGGTGTAAAAGTTGAGTTTGAACCATTTAGACTTAAGCTGATAAACTCATAAATATGTGGGGGCTCTTTGTTTTTTTAGATAAACTCATTTGACCACCATGAGTTGGAGTTTCCTGACCCGCCTGTTAGAGGAGATCCAGAACCACTCAACCTTTGTTGGCAAGATCTGGCTGACGGTGTTGATTGTGTTTCGGATCGTCCTGATCGCCGTGGGAGGGGAATCCATTTATTACGATGAGCAGAGCAAGTTTGTGTGCAACACGGAGCAGCCGGGCTGCGAGAACGTCTGCTACGACTCCTTCGCTCCTCTCTCCCACGTCAGGTTCTGGGTGTTCCAGATCATCCTGGTGGCCACTCCCTCGGTGCTCTACCTGGGCTATGCCATCCACAAAATCGCCAGGATGGTGGAGCACAGCGAGGCCAGCAGGAGAGCCAGGAGGAGGAGCCTGCCCATCCGCTGGAAACAGCACCGGGGCTTGGAGGAAGCTGAGGGTGACCACGAGGAAGATCCCATGATGTACCCGGAGATCGAGGTGGAGAGCGTCAGGGAGAGCAAGGAGAAGCAGAGCCCGGCCAAAGCCAAGCACGACAGCCGGCGGCAGATCCGGGAGGACGGGCTCATGAGGATTTACGTCCTGCAGCTCCTGGCCAGGGCCCTGTTTGAGGTTGGCTTCCTGGTGGGGCAGTATTTCCTCTACGGCTTCCAGGTGAGCCCCGTGTTCGTGTGCAGCAGGAAGCCCTGCCCGCACAACGTCGATTGTTTCATTTCCAGGCCGACGGAAAAAACCATTTTCCTGCTGATAATGTACGGCGTGAGCTGCATGTGCCTGCTCCTGAACGTCTGGGAGATGCTGCACTTGGGCTTCGGCACCATCCGCGACACCTTGAACGCCAAGAAGAAGGAGATGGTTGACTCTGGGACCTTTAACTACCCCTTCACCTGGAACACCCCCTCAGCTCCCCCGGGCTACAACATCTCCCTGAAGCCAGAGCAGATGCAGTGCACCGAGCTGGCCAACGCCAAGATGGCCTACAGGCAGAACAAAGCCAACATAGCTCAGGAACAGCAGTATGGCAGCAACGAGGACAACATCCCCAGCGACCTGGAGATCCTGCAGAGGGAAATCAAAGTGGCTCAGGACCGCCTGGACCTCGCCATCCAGGCTTACAACAACCAAAACAACCCCAGCAGCTCCAGAGGGAAGAAATCCAAAGCTGGCTCCAACAAAAGCAGTGCCAGTAGCAAGTCAGGAGATGGGAAGAACTCGGTCTGGATTTAATGTTGGCTCAGTTGATATGCTGTGGTTTTTTCTCCCCCTAGTTTATCATAACCAGCAGTCCCGTTAATAATGGCTTCCATTAAGGGAATATTTGACTCTGCTGATTTTCAGGGATACCGTTGGCTCGTGATTCAGCCCCAGAAAGGGTTTATACACTGACTCTAGGACTTTAGAACTTTATTCTTTTGTCTTCCAAGTCAGGAGACAAATAGGTATATTTAATTCATTCTCATTGAACGGTTTATGCTGTATGTACAGTATTATAGTACATTTATTATGCACAATTTTTTTTGTATTTGTACACTGGATCTGATGTTACACTTTTTATATCAACAAGGACAAAGCAATGGATAGCCATTAGCATTTTGTTAATTTTATTATTGTTGTCTGCAGTTATGTCATTGTTCTTCCTTGTTTTCCAAGTAAAACTTTTTATAAAACTTTTCTATGCTGCGTTTCCAAAGTGCCTTGAATGTGGAGTCTGTGGGCAGCTCATGGGTGGGGAAAGATTTGGGAAACCTCTGTCAGTGGTGCTTCTTTACTAAATTAATGTGCTGCTTGCAACCTGGAAGTGTCATCCCAGAAGCTCCTGTGTCCTACAGGCTCTTTCCGCTATGGAAAATGAAATATAGGAAAAATATGTGTGTGTGTAGGGAGCAGGAGTGCCAGCTGTGGGGCAGAGAGGGCTCAGGGTTCCTCAAACACAGCAGAAAGGAGGAGACACTTCAAATTCCTGCAAAACACCTAGGAAAAAACTGAATAAAAATTCCTGCAAAACATCCAGGAAAAAACTGAATGGAAATGTCTGCATTCAGTAACTCAGCGTGTTCCTGTGAGAGTGATGGGAAGAGAAATTTGTGAGGCCTTCTGTTGTGTAACACCCTGTGCCCAAGGGCAGGCAGTGCTACCTTTTGGGGAGGATTCCTGTGCTTTCCCAATTAATGGGGTCAGCTGGAGCCCTGGTGAGTGTGGGATCCCCTCCCTCTCCTGCAGCAGCACACACGGGCTGCCCTCTCAGAATATCAATGATTCTGCCTTATTCCAGACCCCTCTTCCTTCCCTTCTGTCCAAGTTTTGTTCAGACACAGCAATATGTATAATTTAGCTTTCTGCTTGACAGACCAGCCCGACCTGGCATTCTGTGGGTTTGGCATTCAACTTGAATTTACAATTAGCAGAAGGGGAGTGAGGGACTGATGCCTTTGGCTCTGTCTTTCTGGCAGGGAGCCGGCTCTGCTGGGAGAGACACTGATAAATGTCTCTGCTTTCTGCTGCTATTTATAAGGGATTCAGGACCTTGCTCTGCTCCCTGTTTTTTTTCAGGTTTCCATGCATTTTAATATCTTTTAGGGGCCTGTTTCAAGCAGGATTGTTCTCTTTCAAGGCTACCCCTGTCCCTCCTCAGATCTGGGTCAGGAGCAGGATTCATCCCAGAAGGATTGGGGTGGGAAGGGACCTTAAAGAGCCTCTCATTCCCCCCCTGCCATGGGCAAGGAGCCCTTTCACTATCCTAGGGTGCTCCAAGAAATGTCCAGCCTGGCTCTGGACACTTCAGGGATGCAGGAACAGCCACAGCTGCTCTGGGCAGCCTGGGAGCAGTGAGGGATGAGGACACAGATGAATCCCTGCCCTCTCCCTGTCCCTCAGAACATCCAGGGGCAATCCCCACATTAAATTCATTCCAAGGGGACATCAGCATGTCCTTGCTGTCCCCTCTGCCCGAACACCTCCTGTAAATGGGTGTTGTGCTGACTTGTTTTGCTCTGTTTTCCCTCTGGGACAGCAGGCAGGCCTGGCATGGATCCAGACTATCCCTGAGCAACCCTGCTGTGCCCAGAGCCAGCACAGCCCCTGTGGGCGCCCCTCTGGAGCTGGGGGCACCCTGAGAAGGGAATTGCCCCCCTGGCCTCTGGCAGTGCCCCCTGGCTGCTCCGGGGCTGGAGCAGAGTGGGGGTGGCGGCTCCAAGGAAGTGTGAGTGCCCCAGGCCGTGTGTGGCAAGCGGATGTGGGCAGGGCTGGCCCGCTGAGCTGTGTGGGCCAGGGCAGCTCTGCTGTTGTGTTTTGTGTTTCTCTGATTGAACTGGCCTGGAGAAAGCCACAGTGGTGGGCAGGGGCTGTGAGTGTGGCTGGGGAGCTGGGTGGAAACCAGGTCTGAAAATATGAGGGAGAGACTTGGAGCCTGGAGGGAAGCAGGGCTGGAGGCCTCAGGGCGCTCATCACCCCCAGCACTCCAGTTCCTCTCTTCAGTGTCCCTGAAATCTGTTCAGTGCCCCAAAAAGGTGACATTTAACCCCATGTGCTGCTTTGGGAGCAGCTCTTCCCCAGTGAGAGCAGGGGAAATCCTCACTGCTCTCTTCAGTGTCCCAAAAATGTGTTGTTTAACCCCATGTGTTTTGGGTACAGCCTTTCCCCAGTGAGAGCAGGGAAAATTCTCACTGCTCTCTTCCCAATCTATAGCAAATTCTGTCATGGACTTAAAGCAGGCTCCCACCTGCTTTTGTGTTATTTTGTGTGAAGTCCTGTGGGCTTCTGCCCACCCAGTGAATCCCTGTTAATGAGCAAAGTGTCCAAAATATTCCAACCCCAGTGCTGGATTCATTCTGAAAATCCCAACTAATGGAGTTGTTTCTGTTGCTGCTTTTTATTTTCACTTTCATTGTGTACAAAGTGCACATTTGGGTTGGAGCTGAGCGTGTGTTGCTGGTTGTGGGGTCTGTCCCAGCTCTGTTCTGGCTGTGGCTGGTTTTGGAATATCAGACTTTGTTTTTCCTTTTGAAAAAAAACCCTAATAATTTACTTTAAAATGCTCTTGCTTTGGCTTAATTGAAATAAACATCCAGGAGAGACTTTGGGACAAAAAAATGCTGGATGGAATTTGGATTTGTGGTGACATTTTAAAAAATTGTATTAAATCCAGTGGATTACTCCAGTCTGAGTGAGATGGCTTCTTTTTTCCAGCAATAGATTATGGGAGGGAGGGAGAGGGATATTTAGCTATTTGTCTTAGAGCCACAATTTGGAATTTTTTTAGATGTGACCTTATTTAGGTCAACAAATAGCTCAGAATGAGATGAGAATAGGATGAGAACAACCACATTAGAAATGGGAAAACCCACCAAGCTGGGAGAAGGTGGCAAAGAGGGAAATCTGCATTTCTGCATAGGGATGAGAGGCGGGCAGGGTTTGCTGCCCCGCTTGTGGCTGTCACCGGGTGGCTCCGCTCGGTGTCCCCGCTGTCCCCTCGCTGCCAGCCTGACCCCGGGCTGCGGAAGGAGGCACGGGCTGTTTGTCCTGCCCGCAGCTGGCACCGAGCTGGGTTTGATTCCGGAGGTTGGAACAAGAGCTGTTTGTCCGGAGGGAGGAAAGGGCAGCGGGGCAGGAGGGGTGGCGGCCACCCAGGCCAGCTCCAGCAATGACAAATTCTCTTCTCTCCACTGCCAGGGCGGCCCAAAGACTGCACAGCCTGGGAGAGGGGGTGCTGGGGCTGTACCCACATCTTCAGCTGGGGTTAAAATAATTTCAGGCATTCTCACTGGGAATTTGCTGTTCAACAGAGGCTTCTGACCCTGAAACCAAGACGTTTCTGGCCCTGAAACCAAGAGGTTTCTGACCCTAAAACCAAAAGGCTTCTAAACTTAAAACCAAGAGGATTCTGTACCTAAAACCAAGAGGATTCTGACCCTAAAACCAAGAGGCTTCTGTACCTAAAACCAAGAGGCTTCTGACCCTAAAACCAAAAGGCTTCTAAACTTAAAACCAAGAGGATTCTCTACCTAAAACCAAGAGGTTTCTGACCCTGAAACCAAGAGGCAACCTCTAAAATCGAGCGGCTTCTGACACTAAAACCAAGAGTGCCAGGGAATGCCTTTTCCAGCTCCTTGCCTGACCAAGGCAGCACCAGCCCGAGCCATGGTTCCAGTACAGGGATAACTGGGGCCAGGGCTGCTGCTGGACCATGCAGGGACCGCTGGGATTTGGGCTCCTGCTGCTCCCAGACCCCCCCTTTACACACTGGGTGAGTCCCTGCAGGCAGCCACAAACTCCAGCTCAGCCTTGTCCGGGTGAGATTTAGGGTCAGAAGTCTCGGGGTTTTAGGTACAAAAGGCTCTTGGTTTTAGGGTCAGAAGCCTCTTGGATTTAGGGTCAGAATCCTCTTGGTTTTAGGTACAAAAGCCTCTTGGGTTTAGGGTCAGAATCCCTAAATCTTGGTTTTAGGAGCAGAAACCTCTTGGTTTTAGCCACAGAAGCCTCTTGGATTTACGGTCTGAAGCCTCTTTGTTTTATGGTCAGAAGCCTCTTGGATTTAGGATCAGAATCGTCTTGGGTTTTGGGTCAGAAGCTTCTTGGTTTTAAGGTCAGAAACCTCTTCATTTTAGGGTCAGAAATCTCTTGGTTTTAGGATCAGAAACCTCTTGGTTTTAGGTACAGAAGCCTCTGTTGAATAGCAAATTCCCAGTGAGAAGGTCTGAAATTATTTTAACCCCAACTGAAAATGTGGGTCCAGCCCCAGCACCCTGCCCTGGTGACACATTTTGGGGGACAATGGTCGGGTAGAATCCCATCCTGTGGTGGTTGTGGCTGATCCTGTGTCGGGAGGAGAAGCAGAGGTCAAAGCTGGGGTCACACCCAGCGCTGCAGCTGTGGGCAGATGTGCAGAGCTGCTGGAGGTGCCCCTGGGTGTTTGTGTGGCCTCCAGCTGCAGCTCCAGGAGGGAGCAAAGCAGCTCCCAGGGGTCCCTGTCCCATCTGCCAGCCCTGGGAGGATGCCTGGGGCGCCTGAGGAGCCCTCCCAGCACCACACGTCTAGACGTGGTCCCAGAGGAGCCTTCGTGGTGCCCGCTGACAGCTCCACGTGCTTTTTCCTCTGCTGGGAAGGGAGGGTGAGGGTAAAAATCCTCTCTGCAGAGTGATTTTCCCTTTGGAGGCATAGGTTGGCTGTTAAATATTGTTAACGTTAAATGTTCCTCCTGCCTGTAGTTCTGCTACGCTTTTGTGGAAGTGTGTTACATTCCTGGAGCTTGGTTTGTGAATAATTCAGGAATTCCTGCTCCCAGGAACACGATTTGCTGCTGTGAGGCTCCATCCAAAGGAGCTGCTCATTGAGGTGCGCTCAGAGCCTGATCCCTGTGAATGGGACCTGGAGCAGCTCCTGAAGGGCAGAGCCGTTTGCTCGAGTTAAAGGATGCTCTGTTAATCCAAAACTCGCTGTAATCCACCCTCCGAAGCAGCAGGGGAAGGAGCCTGAGGGCTTCTGCTCCCGGGGAAATTGTCATTCATTTTCTGTGTATCAGAGGAGGCTCCAAATACCAGCTCATCATTGCTGGGCAAATGACATTTTGTTTTCTGCAGCGTGACATTCTCGCTGTTGTGTAAATTCCATGTTGATAGCCGGGCAAAACGCCTTGGAGGGAGGATTTAAAGACATCCGATCAGCGCTTTCTGGGGCT